GCTTTATTAACAGAGAAATGCAGCCTCAGAAGTGAAAAGAAAGCCATTAACAGTATTTGTTCATTTGTTTTAATTAATTTAATTTAATGTTTTAATTTGTTTTCATTGGCATGATCTTGAAATAGGTAGTATTCACAGTCTACCATACAGTTCAAGCTCGATTATCAGCATAGTTTTGTACCTTTGTACACGCAGCTTCTTTAGTGTGGCTAATTTCTTCTTACCCTTCAGGACTCAGCTTGGGAATCCTCTCCAGGAAGTCTTTCCTAACCCCCTGCCCCATACTTTCCTCCCCCGACCTTCCCACCAGGCCCTCTACTGTCTGAGCAGTTGGCTCCCTCCTGGTGCTCTCTGAGCAGCCTGCTCTCATCTCTGTCATAGCACCAGTCACACAATTGCACTTGATAGCAGATACTGTTCTTCATTTTAGAAATCTCGATGTCCAGCAGTGTCTGGCTTATACAAAAAATACTAAATGAATATTTGACTCGAAGTGTATTTTTAGACCTGAATGTTTGGTGACTCTCTTCAGTCTGTGTTTTCTGCTCTGGAAGCTACCACCCACAGCTGTGACAGTGGTGCTTATGATGGACAGTATACTTTTTGAGTCTAATCTTTCTGGTTAATAGGGAGTGTTTTTCATATCCCTGAAACCTTGAGGTCATCAGATGAGAGAGGATTGAGGGAATGTCGGTAGTGAATTCTCTGAGAGGGTAGAGGACGTTGGTGTTATGCTTCCTTCTCTCCCCAGTGAGAAAAGGGCCAAGGTTTATAGGTAAGAGAAGTTAGTGCCACTAACATGAAACCTCAGAGTCTATCAGTGGCTCACTGTTTACTGGTTGAGACCTCTGATTTAAGTACTAGCCAGGTCTATACTGCTCAGCCCCATAGCTGTTTTATAAAACTTTATATTTCCACCAACCAGCATCACATTTAAACTTGTAATTCAAGGTGATAAGTGTTCACCCTTAACCTGAAACCAATCTCTTCTTCTCCATTATAAGTCTAAGACTAGTAACATCATCATATATCAGACAGGAGAACTGCATACCACCTCTCCCACCACCACCACTGTTTATTGATGGGATGAACTGAATTAGGACAGTGAGCTTCTGTGGGCTTCAGTCATCTCCTTTCTAAAGCAGAAGTTCTAAGTTTTTATGTTCCTAAGACTGTGGAAATCAACTGGATTATTTATCAAGGTTCATTCCATTTCCAGTTTAAGGTGAATAATATATATGAATTATTTATCTGTGTTCCAGTGCTCACTGAGAAGGTTAATTAGAAGTTTTCTCTTCTATCGAAATTATACATTTGCCATGTTTGTCATTTAGCAGTGTTGAAATTCTAACACATGATCTTAATACATTCAGTATATTGATTTTTAAGTCCTAAAATTTCATGATACTAGGATTATTATTAATATCACATGGAGGCCTCTGTTTTTTAATTTCTCTTCTCAAGGTAGTTGTGTTTCATTTATTTTTTTTTCTTTAGGGGTGAGAGCCTAATATGCTAGACAAATATATACTGGCAGGCCATTTACCTAAGAACCTTTTTGGCATGTGCATACATTTATATCAACACAAGATAAATGCTGAAATGTTTTTGCCTAGGCCTTTTAAGTTTTCACTCTCAAGAGAAAGTTCTTGAATATAAAATAAAAGACCTTATAATTCTGCTTTATTAAAAGCCTTACTTACTGAAGGCAGAAATCATACAACAAAAATTAAGAACTGTAGTAGTTGGGAAAAAAGTATCTTCTGTATTACTACAAATACTTTAATAGTTCATCGTTCTGTTCTCCACCAGCAAAGAA